TAGTAGCTTTTTAAAAAATAAATATGAAAAATCGAGAAAAATACATATGTGAAACGGAGTATGTGATCGCAAGTAAATAGATATGCATTATGTAGTCATACAAGTACTGTACTTAAGTACTTACTGCAGCCTGTAGGTTGTTACACTTGAAATTTTCAYCAACTGTTTATATATTAGCGTTATTTATTTACGATTAAATATTCAAAATATGTTGACTTTTTTAAGCTATTTATAAACAGTTAATTTTTTTTAAATGCTTATAAAAAAAATTGGCCATCCAAAAAATCTTTAAAATGTACCTATACAAGGTTTATTATTAATTGTACTTATCGAAGTAAAAAAAAAAAAACAAAAATCGTTAGTCCCAATTTTTATTTATAAGCATTTAAAGTTCAAATTATTAAATACGTCACAAATCAAAATCACGAAAATTTGCATAGAATTATGAAGTTGAAAATTCTTAAAATTGTTGTGGTTTAAACTTAAATTCAAAAAATTCAACATAAGGTTACACAACTGTAAAAAAAAAACTCCAGAGTCAATATAGTTATTATTGAAAACATTTTGTGATCGTATAAAAATATATTATAATTTAAATATAGGYAATATAATATATCCTATAGACTGACAAATCATCTCCGTTCAGAATCGTTTTTCGTCTTCAAAAGTACAATGATACTTTAATACTTGTCATTGCATTCAAATTTTACACATCTATTATAGCGACCTACTCTCCATCTTTACTATAAAACAGACCGATACCCACTAGCCCACTTTTTAATTATTAAAATTAAACTTTTTTAATAAAATGACGTAATATCAATCTTTATTTGATAATAATGACCTTGTTAAGATTTGTATAATGATATTATTATAATATTAATATAGGCTAATAGACGCATACTTAACTACTGATAAAAGTTTATGCATCTAATACCTACTGCGGTAGAATGTATAGTTTTAATTTGGGTATCTGCATATTTTTTATTGTTATGAAAATATTWAATGGGGCATGTTTAAAAAAGTAAAGTCTCGAAAGCTCTCATCGGGATAGACTTTRAAATACGGAATTTTCCCGTATAGAACGAAAAGTCTGGTCACCCTAATATCATCTAAAAAATATAAATAATGCATCCCCTATGTTCTTTTTTTAAATGTTTTGAAATTATTTGATAACCATTAATAAACTGTACTTTTAATATTCAAATAGAGCTATTAAAAGATTAGCCATACCCATTACAAAATCAATTGAAATTTTAATAACTAAAAACTATACTCCTTCAAAATTTGGGTTAGGTACATCAAAATTTTAAAAACAATTATCCACTAAATAATTTACAGTAAAAAAGTCGGTTCTCATTTGAAAAACGGAAGTTTGTATCGCCACGTGTGTGTGTGTGTCAAAAAAGACTGATCCCTTTTCGACCAAAAACAATTTTTTTTTATAAAATTATGACAATTATATAATTATGTAATTTTGACAAATTTGACAAAGTATAAGTTGGTACTGAATAGTACCAAGAAACTTGAATTCGATTTGAAAAATCTTCAAAATTTAAATAAATGAAATAATAGGGATAATTTTTAGTGTGTGTGTAAAATTAATATGGTTTTGTAAATAATTTTGTCGCGAATTGTATT